CTAGCTTGATAGGTATCCCTGTTACATTTTTTAAAGAAGAGACAATATTGAGGTAAGCGACTGATGTACAGGAGAATGTCGCTACCACGATTTCAGGTTTTCGAGGGTATATCTGATTGCACAATCAATACATGACATCATGAATGTTTCTAAAAGTGAAAAAGATAGATTACTACTGTAACTGGTTTTGACAAGCCTTTCGGTAAATACTCGTATAAAAAACGCCAAAAAGCCAGTGGCACACTGAGTTCCCATAAGCATTGTTTGACGATCTTGCCACCAAACTTATCGAGGTTGCATAATCATAATTACAATTTGATCTACACGTCATCTTCATGCATTGTCGAGATAATGGAGCACTACGGCCTTGTGAACGGATAGACTTCAACAATATATTTTGTGCCATATCGTAAATAAATGCATGTTACGTTTAAGTTTAAAAATTAATTTTCCTGACATTAAGAAGATTTTAAGCAATAAGGGAAAGAGCCGTAAGACTGATGTACATGACAAGGTATGGTATCCCCGAAATGTAAATTATATGCATTTATGTTGTGACCTTGGTATTGTGTTTATAACTTACATTGGTATACCACTGATTAAATGTAAAACTATCGTTGTTTTATCACAATAAAAACAACCACTGAAAGGTAATTATACAAATCCCTTAACGTCAACAAATGTTATAAAATTACACATATATACTGATGTTGTCGTAGTAACACGTAGTGATTTGAAAACCGCCAACAAAATCTAAAACATGACCTAGGTAGGTGCTCATCAGAGAGATATTGTTAATATTTATTGCTAAAGTGATTGTTACAGAGTAATTTTCCGTGTGAAATACCGATAACAAAAGACCAATCGACTGATTGCTCTGAAACATTGTTGGTTATACGATTTTCTTCCTGTTTAACATTTTCAAACCTTATTTAGATCCCTGTGGCATATCATTTCTCTCAACATCCGCGTTATCCATCTTTGCTGTTGACAATATTGCTTGAAGTGCAAATGTTGCGTTTTTGATTTGCTGTGAGTGTGAGCGCCTCTGTATAATTCGCAGAAAAAGCGAACATGCGTTAAACAGATAATTTGCCATCAACAATAGTTAGAGAATCATCGCCCCTTTGGCTTGTTTCCAATATGAACGACCTATTGAATGAGTAATTGTAAAAGTTTGCAGCGGCGGATGCTTCATTAGGTGATGACTGATGGGATCGTGACCAGATGCCTTTCGTTTTGGTACAATGAAATTAATCAACGGTCTGTGGGTTGGAGTAAGTGGATTTCAACCGCGATCGACCAAAATACGATTTTCAAAATCGTTAGCCTGTTTGGTGTCTACATATTGATTGTCAGATTTACATAATCATCGACTTTAGAATATTTATTCCACACCCACAAATTTGAAGATTGGTGCAAGTGAAATAATCAACCAAATTAGGATATATAACTCACATTTTTTCTTATATCTAATAGAAAGTATGAAGTGTACGGAACGTTAGTTAAAAACTTCAGCAGTTATCAAATCAAAACCAAAACGTCAAATAGGTGTTTTTATATTTTCTATTACCTCGTACACATCCCCCAAACAGTCAAAGTTTAGCTGAAGATATGAATGTTTTGATATTTGCATATTTAGAGAAAGAAGAGCCATAACATTTATGAATTATAATATAATGCTGAAATATGTTACTCAAAGGACCTTGAAATAGTACGAAATGACATATGATCCGGAGGGGTAAGCGTCTTATGCTTCATCGTCATGACATTCACCCTATGAGCCCTTGCCCATCCAAGTAACAAGGGAACCAAATTTATAAAAGATAAACAACCATGTTGACTTATAAATTCTAATTCCACTAGGAAATAAAATATTTCCCAATAAGATTACTATGCGATCATAATACTTCTGATAATTTTCATCCATCTAACGCTTTTGAAGCCCTGTATGTCGTTCATGGAAATAACAATATTCGGAGCAAACCCATGAATATCGAATAAACAATAGCGACTAGACACGTGCCGTGTTACTGATACTCCGATGGGTATATACGACTGACATGGACAAGGTATATCGAGCTGAGTGGAGTAGAAGATTCTGTCGTGTCACTAATACTCAGATGGGTATATACGATGGACAAGGCCAAGGTATATCGAGGTTAGTGGAGTGGAAAATTCTCCGATGGGTATATACGGTGACCACGGACAAGGTAGAGAATATTTCTTGTTCCTTATATGAAGACAACTTATAACAAAATACCATCTATTAGCGATAAAGTTTTAACAGCTACTAATAAAACCTGGTCAAATCGCTAGAATCAATATTTATGGGGAAGTTCCTTGGTCGCCATAGTGATCTCATTGGTAAATATTATTTCATTTGTGCGATATAAAGTTGGAAGTGTTTGATGCTCGTTAGTTTGTCTGTTGGTTCCGTTGTTGTGTCGTCGATGAAGCAGAAGACGCTTACTCTTCCGAATCAAACGGTCTTATGCTCCTTGTACTTTTTCCAGAAGTCTCCATGTACATTTTTCTTTGGTTTATAGTTTGACCTTTTGGATTATGATTATGTTGACATATAACTACTTTCTTGTTTTTATGGGGTTTTTTTTCTTTTGTTTTTGTTTTTGTCCAGATTTCTACCTAATCCCTTCACGATAACCGACCTATCAGCTACGTCAGGTACTGAATTACTGACGAAGTTGGTCGTTATTATCGCAACTGGGTATGTGATGTTGACAACATTGTAACAAGTATAGGGATCCCGTACTCTCGATAATCTTAATTTCTTCGTTGTACATTTCGAGCAAAGCCTTAATTATTTGAAGGCATCGAAAACGCATGTGCAGGAATGTGAAACTAACAGATTCTGAACAAATAATAAGCATAAGAAAAAAATATTATACGGAATATTGATTTTTTTGTTTAGTCTTATTAATTCCTTTATTATTATCTAATGGCAACGGAACGTCCGGGCGAAATCTGGAGACTTTTGTCATAATAAACAAATTTGATGCATTTCTTGTGATTTATCAAACTCAATACCTAGTATTATGTTCTTAGAACGCAGATTATCATCAGGAAATGTCTTCTTTTTTCAAAATGTGTGACGACAGGAGCTAATTAAAACAGGTGTTGAAGAATATGTTATATTCAGTATATATTTAGCAGTTGATAATGATGTTTACAGAATAAGTTATGAAACATATTTCATACATTTTGTTCTTGACAATAGTTGAGGAAGTACAGAATATAACATACTCTGTATAATATTGATATAATGTTTTTAATGAAGATGTGCTACATTTGAGAAAAAGATCAAACGCCTAAACATATTGCAAACAATAAGTAAAATTCCAGTTCTCTACATCAGTTTTACGCCATATTGAGCGGAGCTGACTACACACAGACAGTCTGCTGCTATATTTTCTGCTTTTCAACCTAAAACTATCGGTCATTTTGATTCTTTATTCAGAAATCAATTGTGAACTTTCATACGGGTTATAATAACAGAGATACGACAGTCTGATGATCAGTTACATGTAAGGACATCGAACCATTCTTCGGTGCAAATGAAGATGAACTGGATTTGAACAACAAAATGTGTTAAATGACTCAGAATTAAAATAGAACATTTCTTCATTGTCACAATATAAATCCTAATTACTCAATAAAATATTACTTAGAATCGAATTTTTCTCCCAAGGTTCATGATATTTTTCTCTCCACAAATAAAAGTAAATTTCAGGCGAAACAAAAATGCCGATTGACGTCGTCGATGAAGTAGAATACGTTTACTTTCGAGCTCGTCTAGTCTTATTCGTGTATTTTTTTTCAGGTGTCTCTATGACAATTCCATTGTAAATATTATTTCCTAGTTTTAAAGAATTTGAATTTATTATTAAAATCATATTTAGCTGTCGGTAATTTCGTTGTTGTTTTTTCAAAACTTCTTAAAGTGTCTTGTAAAATCTACGGTTATGAAAGGTTATGCGCATGGAACACTACGAAAGTCATCAGTTCTGACGTTCGTTTTGTACGTTTTAAAAACGTCTGAAAATTCAGTTTCACACTATTGTTTCATTGTATTTCTGAATATGATGTAAATCGAACTGCTTTTAAAATCCCAACATTCCCTGCATGTATTTTCTGTGAGTTTGCATCCATGACAGCCTCCCGTTCTTCACAGATCAATAGTTTCCAAAAGAAAATCAGTATTTGGCTAGATCTTGTCTTGATTCAAAATTAATCCTTTCAGTCAAATCTATTATTTATATTTACTAAAATATATTTAGAGAAACGATATTTATACAGACAAAAATTTAAACTTTCAAAATGTTGATTTTCACTTCAATCAGATGATAGCACTACATCCATTACACCTAAGGTGTTCTGTATCAAATATCACAAGTTTTATCAATAAATTAATATACATAACGTATTGCTGGTAATTACTGGCTATTTTTTCCGCGATGTTCTAACAAAACGATCGAATTACATTTTAGCGAATGGAAATTTTCCGATCTGGATTTAAAAGGGCATAGAATACACGTGTCACCGTCTTCATGCGTTAAGGTTTCGCTGTTTCTGTACCGTGTAATAGCAAAAATATCATCATCGCGAATGAAATAGACTTGGAATTTTTAACAGAGGGTGAATATTTGATAAACGTGATTATGTAATAAAACATATGCGGTGGAAATTGTATTTGAATATATATTATATTTATTGTAAATGTGGTAATAACTGCTGATATTTGGAATTATTATCAGCTTTATTTTTATCCTATCCAGATTACTACGTCTAATCGTACCTTGTGTAAGACCTCCACTCCCCGCTGTCTTATGTAATAGAATGTCCTCCTTGATGTTTTAGGCTACGCAATGCTTTAAGTATATTTAGATATATTTGGAAACAGATGACATACACTCTAGATCTTAAAGCTAAAATCGTGAACCATTCCAACTTTTACTTGAATAAACAATAATGCAATGTAGTTATTTTTGTATTATTTTATTGTATTTTTGTCAGTTTCGCAATTATTTTCTTCATGAATAACAACAGCATTATAACGATGGGTCAACAACACAAGATACGTTGGGGATAGGACGTTTATAAGTATGGACGCCAGAACAGCCAGATGAAAGACTAGAACGATTCATTGTGATCACAATATGATAAAAACATCGCTGGCACAACATCACCATTATACATCTCTTATACAATGTGTTACGAACAGAACAATGCATCCAACAAATATTGCTTGGAACATATCGCTAAAAACATGCATTATCTGTTAGATATAATAAAAATGTAACAGTAACGTAATTTAACTACTTTGGTAATATGAGGAATTTCATCTTAATCTGTCAGACTCAGGTGTAAAGTCAAGCACATACCACCAAACACACTCTCACCTTAACACCCACCCACACACACACCCACACACAAACACACTATACCACACACCTTCATCCACCCAGCCCGCAAACATACACCAACTAAACACACAATCCAATTCGTACTCATCATACTTCATTATCTTGGCACAAATCCCAATTTCAAAATCCATGGCCTGTATTCATGACACCACACTCGTGCTTAAATACATAATTTGTTATCAGACTCAGTTGCTTTTGTGACACATTTTTTTAATTAATATGTTTTAATGATTCGAAGGAATTTCGGAGACCTCAAGTCAAGTTCTCAGGTTTTAAGCGAGTTTAAAGAAAATTGTGGTAAGCACTTATTTCATTAATAAACATGAGAATGATATCATGGATACGGGCCATGGTATATATACATGAGTGTATTGTAAGTACACTGATGTCTTAAAATACACTTCAAATGACCGCGGGAAATTATATTTACTGTGTAACGCACTGAAAAACGAAAATATAGTAGAGGAAATGAGAGAGCATATGTAAAATTAGATATCACATTTCCAAAAATAAAACTGTTACTGGGGAAACGTACGTGAAATTAGATATCACATTTCCAGAAATAAACCTTTCAAGTTGTATTCCAGCTTGAATGTATATGTTCAACTGCTGCTATAGCTGTGATATTGATGAGAAGATCGCGACGGTTTTCTATTTATATCACAGTACACATTAGATTGTACTCATGGACTTTCATGCAAAGTCTACAGGAAGGAAATTTTTATTGGTTGTTTAATGACAGAGAGGTGATCAAAAAATACTTGCAGACAATTTGGCCTCCCGATCTTGACATGGATACCTTCTCCCGAAGGAGCTGTACAAAGACATTATTAAATCTGTGTCTCCTGGAGAGGATATAATTGAATAAGCTGAAAGCTTCTTATCTTTTTACTCTCAAACAAACATGACGTCATATATTGTATCTCATGAAATCCGTCTATCGTATTGTAATGCATGTAGAAGCAAATTTCCTTGGGTACTTCTAGATGAGAGTTTCACTGTGGTTAAGGAAAATCGTTGTCGACGAGATACATTGCTTACTACAAAAACTGCGTAAACAACCAAAAGATACCCTAAATGTTATCATATGATGAACATTCAAAATTATATTTCGACCTATCCATTCTTCTGATACGTTTTAAACTAAACAAGGATGGCTTTGTTTCAGGACTTTGGAATAATAACTGTTCCAGCCACGTTTAACATCAGTTAATTTTCTTAATGCTACAGGAGCGCGATTAGACTGATAAGATGAGGGGTCAAACTGATTACAAAGTGTCATCAGACATGTTCCGAATACTTGATTACAGAATGAACGTTTTGATAGAATTACTACGAAACTGTCAGATCTGTAAGGCTTATGATGACTCATTGCATACATCGCCAGACGTTATTCATTTTTATAATGTATATCATAATTCAGTTATCGTATATTAGTTCGTGAAACCATCTATATGTGATGTAAGGGGACTTTTACTCATCTGGTATCAGTTTGATTCCAAACACCTATGCTAGTGATAAATAACCCTGTTTTGATCAATGATATTGAAAGTTTTAACTTGATACAACTTTGTGTTAACGATTTAACGTGAGTGATCAATCTTATTGATAGTCCTACGAAATAATGTAACAGAACATTCTTCGTATAAAGCTCTCAGACTACACCATATCTATTTTAAAGTGAGTAATTAAACTTGGACAATGGTCCAGATTTAACGATAGCCCTACGGCCATCGCTTATTCAGAAACAAAATTAAAGGAGATTCTAAATTGATATTTTCTTTTAAGTAGATAAGATCTCTAGTCATGTATGATATTCAAACTGAGTTGTGTATTGGTTTAGGAGATTTACACAGACATCCTTTGTTGAAACCTTCTTGCCATGGAAAACAAAGTCCTCTTTTGTTAGAATTTTTCATGTTCCATCCATTGGCTTTTAAACTCGCTACTTACTACGTTACAGCAAGTTGTGGAGATAAACAATTAGCCTAGGTTACTGAACCAAGAACATGTAGGCCCTCTTTGGACAGTGATATGAATAAATTGGTGAACACATCGAAATTGCTGAATCAGGATAATCTATTTCAACCATGGCAGTTTTATGATTTCTGACAAGCTCACTTTAAGAACTTTTACTTAGTCTTCACATGTATATGTATTGATATTTTGGTTTTAATAATTTCGGTTGATTTAAATATATATCTGTGTCTTGTTTTGTAATTGCCCGAAAAGACGAATTAACTTGATACAACTTCTTTCAGTTTATCATTAGTCACATGAAGATTTATTTTGATGTAGATATCATATTAAGCAATTGCTAAATGATAAATCTATCTTGATTTTTTAGTTTTTAGAACTTTGCTGTTTATACAGTAAGTATAAGTGAGTAATTCCTTTCTTAATCAATTAATACGTACAGTCAACGTAACTGTTATATTGTATAATCTATAACTATGAAGATTAGAAAGATTTAGAAATACGGATAGATTACAATGTCAAACTTATTCTAATTTGAAATGAACAATTTTTGATGGAATATACCAAGATTTATCACTTAGTAACCGACCTTTTAACACGATTTCTTGTCTGTAATAGCCACACCGGTGATCTGACTGATAATTATATTACACCAAAACGCCATTTACATTACATTACATTACCAAAATAGCCTCGCCGTGTGACGGTAATACCGGAGGTTACGTAGTCAACGATCCATATTTAGTTATTTTAATGGTGTGTCCGCACCTTACAGCTTAACCTTATCGCGGCAGTGTCTATTTTTGTGCTTGCAGTAAAGGGATTCTTGTAAACAGATAATTAGATTTGTGATATCATGAAACAGCAGACTGCTGTTAACACTACTTTTCTGTCTGGGATGCTCAGTTTCGGCTTCGCTGATTTTACCGCAGTATCATGTTATACAGTACATTGGTACGGCCTATCAATGTGATCAGTGCTTTATTTAAATGTTTTAACATAAAACAATTGTTTACGCAATCCGGCTACTTAACTTATGTGAAGAATTTAAATAAAAAAAGGTTGAAAAAATGAACGGAGAATATACTTAAATATCCTAATTGTTTCTACATTTTATCATGTTCGAATTTATATGATATTCTAAAGAGCACTGTTTGTAAGTTCTTCGTTTGTTAGTAATCAGCTACAATGAGGAATCTTCTACATGTGCCTGTGTGAATTTAACGTGTACATGGATTTCAGTTCAGTAAGTCAATTTTGATCACATACATAAACATACTAGGGAGTGTATGGACGTATCTGTATTTCAAACAAAAATCATGAATTCAACTAAACTTAAATAAATTGTGATGATTTCTGATTTGTTTAACATAAATCATCTTAAAACCTATATAAATTTCCTAATTGTAAATCTATCAGAAATTCTATGTTATGCAGAACCATAATGAATAAGTATTTCCTTTAAAACTTGTGTGGCTTTCAGCTTGATAGTAACATAAGGAACACATGTACAAGCGTATAAAGCTAGAAAATATGTACACTCATTATAGTTTCTTATTGAGTTTGAATCCCTAATGGCTTCAAAATGACCTGACCGTTTGCGAGGACGTAAAATCTAAAATATCATATAGTGAACCGTCCATGTGACCATTTCATTTGCCTACTTCTGCAATCATTTCAGATTAGTATTTACTTAAGCGAATTCAAGATTATTTTTCACCTTCCTTTAGACTTTCAGGATGGCAAAATTGAAACAAATATAATAGTATACACTTAATAACACAGCTTTGCTCTGAATAAATTATATAACAACTTTTCTGCAAACCTCCGTAACAATGAAAATAACTATGACATTGAAAAATATCCGTGCTTGCTGGCAATTTTCTCTCTCTTTTAAAAATAAACAACTCTCTCTCTCATTAATTTATGTATCTCAAGTTATCACACAAATTATCACAGAATTATGTTCATGTTTATCCTTGAACCTATTTACAAAACTGGACAATCTCTTCACCTTTTACATTTTATCTTTGTTGGCTTCTAATTTCTAGGTGCGGACTTTTTCCGGACAATCTGTCAGAGATCCGATTTGTCGAGACATTGTGTAAATTTACAGCTAGAATTATTGTCTGCTGTATTCAAGATAACCTAGGCGTGCACCAACAAAACCCTAAACGAAGAACTCGTTAATTAGTCTATTGTCTTACCGAATTGACGTCATAATAAATTTGTAACTACCCTATAATGAGGAATATCACATTAACATTTCATGCCAATTTACCCTCATTTACTGAATTTATTTAAAAAAAAAAAAACCAGAGTTAAATATAGATACTGTTTTGAAATGTCAATCATTGTAGCATACACGTATAATATTGATGTTTCTGTCCTATAATACGGCTTTACTTTGTTGATTCTTTGGAGAAGGTATGCACCTATATACTTTGTCTTTCCTTAAGGACTTTATCTTTTTTACATATGGACAACAACGAGAAAACATCGATTTGTAGACTTTCCGAAAATCTCTCATAAACAAAGGATATATTATTGGATTAATTAAACTATTACAATACCCTAACCACACAAATGCGGTGAAAACTTTGGGAGGAATCACCTGGAAATATGCGTCGACGCTGTTGGCAATTAAAAATGGCGTCCATGTCACTACAAATGCACCTACAATAATGCCTAGCGTCACTGTTGCTTTCCTTGTAAAGGGTTCCCGAATGTGCTTAGACGCCACATGTTGCCCGAGTAGAACATTTCCTGCTGCAATAAGACTTCCTACAAGGAAGGCCTGGCGCTTCGCCTCTTTTGACACTCTCCAGTACAAAGTCAGAGCTACAATAATAGGGAGCAAAATGGTCACTGACCCCGCAATCACTGCATATGTGAAGCTCACAATGAATATGCATTGGGGTTGTTCACTGAATATCGTCAAGTTTTCAAGTGTTGGCAGATCTGGACTGTGTAATCCGTTTTCCACGGGGACGAATGAAGAAAGCACGGCTATCCCCCACACAATAGAAAGCATACATATCGCCCGACGGTTTGTCATCAATGTCCGGTATCTTAGTGGTGTCATAATAGCAATGTAACGGTCTATACTAATCAAACAAACATTCAATATGGAGGCACTGGTCAACATGACATCAAATGACACCCATATCGAACAAAACGCTCGAGCCAATAGCCATTCGCCGAATATTTCGTTTAGAGCTGCAGGGATCATAACTATCGTTCCAACGAAGAGATCTGTCAAGCTCAACGATACAATGAACATATTAGATACCGTTCGCAACTTTCGGTTTGAAAATACGGCTAATAGTACAACGACATTTCCCGCCACCGTAAGAGTGATAAGAGAGAAAAGGATAATTCCAATAAAAACACTCTGAATGGTATAAGCATATCCGATAAACTCCGGATACACGTCTATAACTATTCCGGTCTTGGAAACTTCCAAAATCCCCTCCACGGATTGATTGATACGGGAACAGTTCCGACACCGGAATGTTTCCATGGTGGCCAAGGGTATGGGGATCGCTGTATGTAAGTCTGTTGATGGAATCCCTTCCGTTGAGTTAATGACCACATCCATGTTCGGTCTGTAGATATGTTCCATTCTTCAATGGTAGACTAGCGGAATTAATCTGCAATGGAAATAAGGAATTAATATAATCTTCATTAGAATCGTTTTTCCCTCCCAAAAACAATGTTTGTAGGTAATATTGCTAATTTATTAAATAAGATATTGTTTCAACTTATTAGATAACGATAGTGAAATAGATTGATTTTGTTACGAACATATTAAGAAGCCAAACAAGCATTGGGAAGTTGTCTATACATTTCTAACAATCGGATAAGAATTGTGTTATTGTACATCTAGATAAAAGGGACAACTAGCAAGTCTTATTAAAGCCAGGATATGATGAAGACAATCAACAGAAAGCCGATCATCTGGCGTTAATCACTGCTACTATTATATCATATTTATTCATTTATAATATGAAATAATCATATGCTTTATTATACTTATATAATATATTATATAATGTATTAAGTGTAAGATATCATTACTAATGGCTACGTTTTAATAGTGCCACAGTTAAACAGATACCATTTAACAGGAATAACGATAGATTCAGCGCCTCAATCTTATTTTGTTTACAATCTCGAAAGCAGAATGTTATCAGTATATAACGATATTGATAAATCATACAGCATTTGTATAACGTCCTGTATTTTCCTGAGGTACTTAATTGCACCAATGTAGTTGTCCTTTTGGTGTTCTAGAGAAGGACATTAATACGCGTCTATACGATTGATATCGTTATGTTTATCTTAATATTCGCCTTTCAGCACCAACACCGGCGGCGCACGCTTCCTCAGTGCCACACCCACACGTGTGAGTAGCACCATCAAATTTGAGCATTACGCAAGGAGTTATTGTATACCTAAAATGCTATGTTACCTCTGTCCTTTCATGAATAGTCATCATTTAAAATAGATTAATTTATCTTAAAGTTATGTTTTAATGTTTGTTCAGTTATTTCTGTCTACAAATAACGATAAACATCAAAGGAAAAGAGAAAAGAACGAAATAATTATTTAACCATTTGTTTTGTCTGGCGTGTAATGAGGGTCCGACGTTGTCATTTTCTTCTCCTTAAAATGTAATATATAGCCGTAGTAAATAGAGCTATTAATGGATATACAGGACATACACGGGTTATGGTTATGAACTTCAAGAGGTCGTGTTGATTCTGTTATTCTGACTTTCTATTTCCAGCAACTTTCATGCAATCAAAGAACGAGCGTTATTCGAGTAGTAAACAAGCTGGTAAATGGAATTTTAGTTCGTGTCTGCTTCAATCGTTATATGGACATTCCAATTAGACGAACGCTATGAGATATTTCCGTTTTTTGCCCTGCAGGTAAATATGTAATTGAAAAAGAGGCGAAATCGAATTAATTTTAATTTGATGACAGGATTACGATTACGACACTCAGTATTCCAATAGGGAGAATGTTTTACGCGATAAAGAAATCTTTCTTCAGATGTTTTTGAAATACACTAGTGACCTAGGGCTTTACGTCATTTCCATGATGATAGAAATATGAACGACGAATATGATGCTCCATATTTCTAATAACAAAGTATTGACTCTGTATCTTCAACCTGAAATTGCATGTTCATTAATTCATTAATTTCAAGCGATACTTGTTTACGTAGCATTATGAAATAAGACGGTTTCACAAATGTTGACATGGAATTGATGGCAACTGCAGGTGTAAGGTGTAATGATGGATAATCTACCTAGGATTAATTAATATTGTAGAACGCTAATTTGAGCGAAAATATTTTTGTAAGAGTTACTGTATACCGGGAAATTTTTGCTTCGTTTAATTTTCGCATATTTCGTGTTTGAAGGGATTGCGAATTTAAGATGGAAGCGAAAATTTGTCTCTCTTATATAACCTTCTAAAGCATCCTGAGGGAGTGAATGGATTTGGGCGACATTTATGTATAATGGTATAAAGATGAAAATAACCCGAGACGAAACTATCCCGGTACACTGTAAATGAAGTTCAACACAGTTATCAATTTTCGAATAAAATATTGATGGCGAATAACAAAAAATTTAGAATACTGATACCGATACGGTCAGAAAATATGAACAAGGTACGTTATTATTATGCTAAAAAACAAGAAAAACGTGGTTAACAGTTGCAAGAGGCCTGGTTTTAATATACAAAAAGAACATGAATATCCAAGGTATTCTGGAATACTCGATAGAAATTAATTGTCTTCGATTCGACTTAAATCTTTTTCACTACATCAAACTTTGAATACATAGGTGAGATGTCGAATTATCTCACTACACAAGATATTAAACATAACATCTTAAAAGAGAAGTTCTTGCATGACATTGCTCAAATAATATCTTCAATGCATTTGAATGCTCTAAATACTTAAGATCTTGAATTAACTCCCTTAATATAGGTCTTGAATAAAAAAAACCCAGATAATTGCTTAAATCTTCAAACTATATAATATTTATGTATATTTGATAGATTTACTGTTAATATTATTATCATTATAAAGGATGTTAACACAGTACAGTAAATCATATCTTGAAACCTCGTTTCTCCAGTCATACGAGACAATTTTTATTTGGAGTCTAAGGGTTTTCCCTTAAGGGGATATTTAAACGATAAAATATACACGTAACAACACCCTTTTCAAGATCAATATATAGGTGGTGACAGTATCGATTTGCCGATTAGATGACGTCACCAATCCTACCTTCCGTGTATTCAACAGGAAAACCTACACACGATCTCGTTATACTGTATCTGCGACAATGCCACTCACTAGTAGTGATCATTTTGTCAGATCACCTTCTACGTAATCAATATGTCGATATAAACCCATCGCACGGCATTTGCGTGGGAAGATGTAATGGTGTTGATGTTGGTGGTGAGAGGAAGAGAGAGGAAAACAGAACAAGTGATAAGATGTGTTAAGGAATGGGAATAGGATTAGAATAAGGGAAAGCTAGGGTGGATGACATGGGGTAGGGGAAGGGGTGGGACAGTGTTGGTGTCATGAAAGTATTTGTAGGAGAAGCCAACGACGAGAAGGGTTTTTATATCATTTAAAATCGGGAAGACAAGGAGAGTAATTTAAAGCGATGAAATTTAAGATGTGAACAGAAAGTAGTCGTGTCGGCATAAGACAGTAGGATCCTTTGTAGTAAAGATGTAAATTATTAGGGAATAAAAAAGAAATTGATAAAGGAAAAGCAAACAAATATGACCTGGCATTTTTTTAAATGGCAACTGATGTGTTTTAAAGGAAATCTAATTAGTGTCATCATTCTGAATGCACTTTGCTAGTTCTAGTTAATGAACTTTACTGTTTGAAACGAAGATGCGTTCTATTTTGGGTACACTTACTTGCTAAAAGTCCATCAAAACACCACTAGTATGTAGGAAACCATAACCTGGAGGCCTCGGAAGGTTATTGTTCAATTTAAGTAACATGATTGATAGGCTTTATTGTGAATATTGACGAAATAGTCAATAAAATGGAGTTCAGTTTTAGATCTCGTCACGGTCACGTGATATTGTCAAATATGCGTTGACGAGTGTTTTTCTTAAATTTCCTTTGGAGAAGTGCATGTACCATTTATTTACTGCTCATACTGTTATTATATATATCGATATCATTTTTTCATAGCATAATTTGACGTTGATTTACAAATATTATCACATGATAGTCACATAAAGCATTAAAACTGGTAAATGCTTGGTCAACACCAGAATTTGAGATCTCAAAGGTGTACGGAACGAACCGATAAATCTGTCTTGTCCCATTCTATATTTGTTTTACATAAATGTGTGAGAATATCATAATTGGTAATCATAAATATACAATGTGTTCACACATAATGACAATATTTTGTCAGGTTAAACCAGTGTGATTACTTTGGGGTCTATATAATCCCTCGATGTTTCCAAGCCTCCACTGGTACAAACCAGAAACCATAAAAGCGATGTTATCTTGATATTAGTTATTAAACGTACATATAACCTCGCAAATAGGATATTAAAAACCCACTGCACGTGTTCATACTTAAAGCACAACATCTTGGTGGTGACATCTGTATCACACGTGCGCGTGTATTTTTGTCTCGGTCGATGCTATATGTGTCTTTATCGTTCGTTTACACGTACCTTGAACCTAATATACTCGTAATACTTTCTTTGCATATTGTGTAACACGCACATGCTACATGGCTGTCACGCCATGGGTCTGCTATACTGGGTCAAACATCTAGTGAACTGTTTAACTTTTCGCAACTCTTACATACCTTTCTAATGCTGTTGATATAGATGTTTAGAATCTGTTTATCGTTTAATTTATTGAAAGCAATATCATATCTTTATTTAGAACTATTATGGCAATATAGTTTCAGGGCATTCACAGGACTGATTCTTGTACAAAAGGCAATTTACTCATTCCTGAGAGGATAGGTTGTAACTTAAATTTGACTTCATGGTCCAATGTGAATGAAGATGTCTAATTTATATACTGAAACAAAGGGAGATGGATGGAATATTAATGACGAAAGATAACTAGATTCTCTGTTTAAAAAAGTAAAATAAAGCTAGTACACTTCCCTATCACGATTTTGACGTTACATCGACTTTTTAAAAGATCTTTATCCGCCTCCTAGGTTTCCTCAATGAATTTGAGACATTTTGCATCATTAAGGAATCCTGTATGATGGATTGTAATTGATTGTGTGGCTATGTGTAGTTTTTGTATATCAATGATCTATCATTCATGTATATTGTGAGGAAGGTAGGTATATCATGTATTTCATTGGTGAAATCTCGTGACTGTTATTCATGGAGAATAATATGGCGTCAAGCACAAAGATCTAGAAGTTTGTAGAATTTTTTAGAAATTTGTAGAAATCCTTCAGTTTTTGTATCTTGAGAACAATTATATTTGATATTTCATTACAATTGAGTTTGTTTTAATTGTTACGATACAGAAAACTTAAATCGATACGAAACTTTGGAGTTGTATTTGAATTTTCATTTATAAACGCTCAATCAACATTGATATGCGTTCTCGTAAATGGATATCTCGATTGTATTCCTTATACATCTGAATCACCGAGAGTCACTAAGTAAGAAGGGTCATGACCTTAAGACTTATTGTATCAGGATGGGAAAAATAACAATATTTTAAACCCTTACATCTGAACCATTGAAGTCTACCTGAGAGTCTAATACGCTCATAATATCATACATAAACATTCACACCTTTTCAATCAGACCGGGGCTAATCTGCTTAAACATATCGAAGGTCGTTTGTAATCCCCACTTAAGCACCTGAGGTAGTTTGACATAAATAATTTTTACACAAACTAAATACAGAGATTCACAACTGACTTTTTTCCCTTGAAGGATTTGCATACTTGACTGGCCTAACCTACCTAAGGCCATGTATATTGTGCACACATCAAGATATTAGTTTTTCGAATTTTGAAGATCTGAACTTTCTACCTAGTATCAATATCTTGAACTTCATTGGGGAGAAAACCTGAAAATGTAACAATTGATATGAGAAAGTTTCAATAAATTGATATAACGTTTGCCCAAAATCATCCACCACAATCTTCCTGATTAAAACTCGGAAAGCGAAATATGTTAAAAGAAATCGTTAACTTTTCGATATATCAATGCACTAACACTGACATATTTGCCAGAGGTTATTAACGTCCTTCCTTCAACATATCTGTCTGTGCCCTGTGTTGACTTCTCCCTAAAAGCAAATTTACATATATTTCTGCTTGAACTTAGATTATAAGAATAGTAGTCAGAGATATGATTTCTATCTATTAATTTCAACTTTTACACATTTATAGGTTTATTAATTTATCAACTTTTTTCCTAAAAATATTTTAGTAAATATTTGTATATGTTGTATAATAGATATACAACAAATCTTCCATTTCTGTCAAGAAGTAACAGGTAATCTAGGTATAATCAACACTACATGATGTCAAGGTATGTAGGAATGGTCTGAACATTAAGTGTGGCTGATTATACAATATCGTGGGTTGTAACATAACTATCATGTTACCCTAAGTGCAGTTGGATAAAAGGAAAACTAGAATTTCTGTCAACAACCATTTTAGATATTGACTTAACCCGATTATTGACGGTAACATGATGAATATTTCATTTTATAGATCATGCCATTTCCTATTTTACTACTCTCCTTATGTCATTCGCGAAACTCCCCAGACACGCTAATAGTTTTTTGCCTGTTTACAACGACTAAAATATGCCGTGCGAATTGCGTTTTGCATGTGCGATATCACGAGACTCGTTCAAATTAACGAGTCAGATATTCTGTCCGATTTCCTTTCACAAAAGTAAGTGTCTGTGCTTTCTGTTGTCCTGTTAAGGAGACTGATTGTCTAGACGTTTGCGCCAATAAACACAGCTAATCAGCATGAAACTGATTAAAATTAAACAATATATATATAAACAGTCAAGAAAAATTATTCGCGGCATTCCGATGTAAGCACTCACTTCACTTTCCCACTCTACCTTCAAAATAAGAATTTTTTTCTCTTTTTAGCATATGAAAAAGATCAATACAGGATTATAAATATATTACTCCGGGGACAGCTTGGTTGTCCTCGATGTAATATTTATATCTCCACAAATATCACCATTTTATTTGTAAACAAGTTTCTGCTTATCAGTAAATAGTTTGAAACGATAATGTAGATGGAGGCAATGTTAGTAAAATAATTATAGATTGATGATTAAAGAATGATATAAAACACTCCAAAGGTTGTCCAGTATTTATATGTTGTATTAGTGACGTAATATAGGCCATATTCTATTTTACATCAAATATACACTCTAATAATTAGTTTTGTGTGAAACATAGGTGAAAGAGACGCACCAGAAGTTGTGGCAGTGCAGGTGGTTTAAGTAATTTTTTTTCGAAATAACATCATTGTTATCTTTCGATAGTATTGGTAATAAGATCAACATACCTTCATAATGTTGTCGTAACTTTTGACAAATTCCGAGTTTTAAAAGTTTCCAACAGGAAAGAGAATTATATCTTAACGGTATTGTCAGTGTCCTTCACCAATCAATTCATGTGACTAGGTCCAACGGTCAGATCACACAGTGTCCCACAGAAAATATACGCGATATCCTGCCTACTGATATGTCGAATGCATTTTGATTCATTTTCAATGACTGATCTACGTTATATACACAGCTGTCTCATTATTGCTATGGGATCAACGCTGCGTCTTCCTCTATAGTTGACGCTGGAGTGGTACTGGTGAGAAAGGCATACGTCACTGCGTGGCAAAGCGGCTGGCTGAAACGCTCTCATAGCAGTAGTTAGCCCCACTGTGTAGCACATCAACGACAGTGACACAGGAGAGGTCGGCACTCCACACAATCTACTACAAGGGGAGGCGTCTTCCGAATTGTTTATGAAAGAATGTACTATTGTATTATACAGCCTGATACACAACGATCATTATAAAATGTGGTGAAGTTACATAACACGATACTGAGAAAACACCACCATGAAAATAAGAAAACTGGTGTTAGTTAACGCATTTACAGGTCTGATGAAAATTACAAATAAGAAAACCAAGGCCTTTCTGGGTCGAATGTGTATGATTTCGGACCAGTGTAGCAGCAAAGTGCAGTTATTTGTGAATGCGGACAAGACATACTGAAAATTTAAAGATTTTTAAAGGAGGCTTTATCTCTATTAGGAACGACGTATGGGAATCTTATATCAATTTGCTAAGATTTGATGGTGAATCCCGATATAGAGTAAAGCACATCTCGTGGGACATAAAGAGCACACTTCACATCGGTAGCCATCAAGAAGGTACTAGGAAAACGTGTTCTATCACTATAGTCTTCAGTATTGTTAAACTACAGGGCAGACTTTAACACAAATCACAAGACTGACACCAGTTAGGCAATAAAGGACAAACTGAAACACAGATCACAAGACTGACACCAGTTAGGCAATAAAATATGCTAAAACAAAATACTACAAGACAAACGTCAACACGGATCACAAGACTGACACCAGTTAGGCAATAAAGGACAAACTGAAACACAGATCACAAGACTGACACCAGTTAGGCAATAAAATAAGCTGAAATAATACCTACTTGATAGCTCAAATGATTTATTCATTCAGTTATATTAGCAAATGATACAAATTTCCGAAACAAGCCGACCTCATTGATAAGTTTATCCTAAATAAGCCTGTAATTTCTTATGAAGATAAACCTGCTTGTTGCTTACAATCATAGAAAAAATCTTCCAATCGTTTTCCATCCCCTTAGAATAAACCAATGCACATGGCCTTGAAAAGCTACATTTGGTTCTGCAAGTAATACAGACACGTGTCAAAAATTGTTATTCTAAACCACATGTATGATGGTCCAAAGCCTCGCTATGAAAACAATCCGATCATATTCTATCTATTCATGTTATTTAACTGTTAACTCGTGTCTGTCCTATTTTTTGTCTGCGTTAATATTTTAAGCACGTGATTTGATTGCACGTTTTATATCAAATGATTTTTATGTCACAATACACATATAAAACTCACCACCTGGCGAGCTTATATCTAACAATAACCTACTATACACGTGCTTTAATACCACTGTGTTGAAGTCTGATAACTAGTTTTAATAAAAAAAAATCAAGATCATATGCAATATGCAAATATTATGTAAAAATAAAAATACTTTCGCCATATAATATAGTCACATAAATCTACACAATTTTCGATAGGTATATATACGTAATAATGAACTGATACATAACAGACCTTCTCGGCTTCCTCAGTTAGGGAGCTAATATACTGAAATCTAGAAGGCAATTAGGGAAACCAAACTCGGCCGGAACACATGATAAAATATGGTGATGTACAATAACTTCATCACAATAATATCGTTAATGAGTGTCAAGTGTATATATTGGAATTTGAAACTTCATATGCAACGATACGTCAAATCTCGACGACAAAATCCTCCAACAGCAATATCATAAGATGACACATAGACACACTGAATGGCTTTTTTACATGTATTATAAAATGTTTGTTACGAGAACGCGAGAAAATGTTAATTAAACTTAATCATTTATTGTTTATGATTATCGCCGTAATGAAATACAAAGATAGCAGCAATGTTTTCTTTTTCTCTTTATTCAATCACTTTTTTGCCTCAAACATGTCATAGCTGACTCAGATAACTCATTTAACGGGCTTATAAATTCTACCTCACGTCCTCCGGGCCATCATAATATATATTACAAGGACACAGAAATGCATCAAAATGAGGTGTTTCTGTTGAAGTTGCTTTGTTTTATTGTCGACATGTCTTGAAGAACATAGGAGGTTATTTGTATTAAGTGCTCCTCGTGCACATCTAAGGTCATTTTTAGTTTTGATCTCCTTGTATGGCTACCTTACTGAACAACATGCGGAAGGTCGTCGCATGTCGTCCAGAGCAGTAAAAGTAAAGTATTTTGCCTAAGGTCCATTTCTCACCTTCCTCAAAAACACCGCCACGTCACCTTTAGATTACGTAGGTCAATGCTTTAACCAGTTGTGGTATCGTGGTACCAGCAAGAAAACAAATCTGTGACAAACAGCATGTGGATTGTTTTTATCAAGCAATTGAAATCTTACGCCCAGCCACACCTTTAAGAGGGTATCTGTGTATCCCAATAAGTATGAACGGTGTTAATGCAACTCGTGAACGATGTTGAACCAACACACCGAAGTTACACAGAAAATTGACCTTCTTCTTCTTCATGCTTTCATCAATTTGTGAGTTCAAGTTCCAATCCACGACCTGCAGAGCATTCAAATTCGCCTTCGATATTTACAGTTTGATATGAATTGTCAGAGAACGTGTGTAATTTGACCTGCAGATGAGTGTTTCCACCCTGTTAGATGGATGAAGAGTACGTTTCATGGTAAACAAGTTTTATTTTATAGATGAATTCTGTATATTTCGACTAGATTTGTCTGGAAACGATTGGAATATTTCTAAAAAAAATTCTCTGAATCGGAAGCACGTTCTTAATATCATCTTTGTCGAGTATACTTTTTCACCTTAATTCCTTGCATGACATAGTTTTTTTCATTGTCAGAGACATTCGAGTATTGAATGTACCTAAGCTGGCCATGATTGGCTTACGATACTACTTACAAACTCATTACATGATAGCTACGAGGCACGATTTTGTGGTCACGTTTATTTCAAGATAATTTCTCTGACACGTGAGGACAATGTACGTTGCAATGTTTACGATGTAGTGTACTCTAATTGATACAAAAGAATAAGGATTAGGCTATAATTGGAAGCACCTGCTTAATATAGAAAAAGCAAATACTCCAAGAGATTACCTATTGGAACTCGTCGTGTTGTCATAAAGATGGTTGTTTGACTTCTTCTGACAATTAGGCACATGTGTTAAATATTCTTTTGAAACAAGGACAAATGGATTCAAATTAAAGGCTCTTGTAATTCAATATCTAAATAAAAACAAAAAAGTTTTTTTATATTCTTGCCACAATAATAATATCATTTGCTGGAAGAAAGATGTTACCTGCAGTTTATTCCGAACGCAAGAGTTAAATCAAAATACCAGTTGTTGCCTTTAAAAAATATCAAATGAAGACGTGGAATATAATAACGCCTAGATATATCTATCTGCTTTCTTGTGCAATATGATGTTCGGTGTGCTCAATGCTTTAAAGTATAGCTGATGAGTCTGTTGTTGTTTACCTTCTTAGATTACGTTGACATGTTTTGTTTTGTTTTTTAAATACAAAGCACTGTACAAAATGCACAGAAGTGAAAACACTTTTAAATAATTTAGAGCTTGATACAGTAAAGCTAAGAGATTACTTCCACTGTATCATACAGCTGTTTCGTCCTTCTAGGACTTGTATGTGATGCTACATCATACAGCTGTTTCGTCCTTCTAAGACTCGTCGTTGGTGCTACATCATACAGTTGTTTCGTCCTACTAGGACTCGTCAGTGATGATACATCATACAGCTGTTTCGTCCTTCTAAGACTCGTCAGTGATGCTACATCATACAGCTGTTTCGTCCTTCTAAGACTCGTCAGTGATGCTTAGGGCCTTAATGTTTAAGGATAGAAGGCAACTAAGGGAAATCCAGAGTTATCAAAAGAATAGTTTAAACGGGAATTTGAAGCAGCCCAATAATAAAATGCATTTTCATGTATCAGATAATTTAAGTTCGTTGTAGACATAGAAATGAAATGTCATATCACACGACATAGGTGACATATTATGTTACTTTAACACATGGTTAGAAAACAAAGCATGTGTATAATCTGATAGTATGCCTCCACAGAAACAAAAGGTTTCCTTTTGTTATCTTACAGACTTCATTAGTCGTACTTTTATCCCTCTACTTTATCACACTTTGTGGTTGTCTTGACAAGATTTCATGCAAGTTCCCTAAAGGCAGATAACTACAACATGAACAAGAATGATTGACAAAGGAAAAACAAACCATATTACAGGATGTCGCAAAAAATATCAACGTATTCTTTAAAACGAACACAAGAGCGGCCAGAGATAGTGGCTTACGCTCTGAACAGATACCAGCTGATGTTCTTCTATCGGCGAACCATTCTCTAAATGTACAGCCAGTGTTGAATTTATTGTCCATTCCTTTGGGTCTTTAGTCCAAATTATTCAGCCACAAATTGAGCTAAATACGCCAGTGTCTTATGTAGATTAGATACCGTACAATCCGTGGAATTCACCTGAGACGTTTGTGTGAGATTGGAATACGTAATAGTGGGTTACTTATATATACGGCATGACACGAATTGCAGAACAAGCAGAGATATTAAATTGCCATGAAATTTACGATTGCTTAATGAAAGATGATTGTACAAAAGACACACAAATAAACAGCAACTAGCAATAGAAAGGGTACAGTAAAGCGAGGTAACTAAATAAACTCATATAATTTATTGTAGGTATTTCGTCTTTCTAGGATTTGTCAGCGATGTTCAGGACCTAAATTGTGAAACATAGGAGACAACAGTAGAAACTCAAACTTGACTGAAATAAATGTAATTATCTAGATGGGGAGCTTTTTGTCATTCTCATATATCAAATAATTTTAAAAATACGAGATCCTATCTCGATTGAGACCAGATCTGGATAAAAAACATCATAAAGAAGTCACGTGCAAAATTAAACAAAACATTATATTTTCAACCCGAGAAAGTGTTGCGATTGGGTGTGCATATTTTTA